CAAAGCAATTATCACCGTTCTGAAGGGGAGATGGGGCGAGGTGAAAATGCACAGAAAATAGCTATTTGTTTGCTTCAAACTATGGGTGGTGGTCAACTGAAAGGGGTCCTCCAGAGAATTTCTGTGTCTTTTTCACATGCCATTTCTCTCAAGAATCAACAGGCGGTGGCGTTAGACTCATTCTGGAAATTGCCTTTATGTACAAATAGCATTCATTACATAAAGGTTTCCTCAGCTCTCAAGGGCAAGGGGAAAACAGATTATTTGGAAAATAACAAATAATAACTGACATGGATATCTTCTTTCCCCTGGGTGAGAGAGAAAATGCCTGGATGTTGTTTTCAAACATCCCAGCCATCAACTCCAGAGAGCATGGGCAAATATCATTTTCATTGTTGACATAATGGAGATGATGACGCTTTTCAACCATTTCCCAGAGCATAAACTCGTTCTTGGTGTGAGCCTGGCTGTGTGACCATAATGAATGCCTGTGATGTGGGAAAAACAAATGTACTAACGAAACGCGGTGAGTCAGATGGCTCATTCGTTGCTGTCAACAGAAGCCAGCGTTCCCCCAGATCTGCTGTGTCTGTCGTGGTATAATCTGCCATGGCACAATCTGAAATGCACTGCAGATCACCTCATGTTGAGTAAAATGTTAGAATTAACAACTGAGTAAATGTTAGGTATAAACAAAGTAGTTAGTTGCATGTTCACGATATCTCAGAAAGGTTTGGATTTTCTTTCCTTCATGTGTATGCTTATTAAATTAGGGACAAAGAATTTTATTCAGTAACTGGGCACTCAGAGTACATTTCCCAGACAGCCTTGCTGGTAGTATGACCACATGGACTAAGTTCTGGCCAGGGCAATACGAGAGAAAGTGTCTTGTGGCAGCTTCCAGGAAACCCTTAAACTATTGATGGTGTGTGCCATTTGCCCTATTTTTTGACCTTTCTCCATTTGGGGCCATAGGACAAGGGCTACAGACCAGTGATAACAAAGCATGAAATAAGAGAAATTCTCATTATGTATCCATTGACAAACTAGAAAGAAAGCATTAAACGTTGTTAGGTGTTTTTTTGTTTTTTGGTGAGGAAGATTGGCCCTGACCTAACATCCATTGCCAATCCTCCTCTTTTTGCTTGAGGAAGATTGGCCCTGAACTAACAACTGCGCCAATCTTCCTCTATTTTGTATGTGGGTCATTGACACAGCATGGCTTGATGAGTGGTGTAGGTGCACGCCCAGGATCTGTACCTGTGAACCCCAGGCCAACAAAGCAGGGTATGCTGAACTTAACCACTACACCACAGGGCTGGCCCCAGAAAGCATTAAAGTTTTGATAAATCTTCAAATGAGAGAGAGTGAATCATCTTTGTTCCATATCGTATTTTAAGAGTGAAAGTGATGCAAAAAAAAATCTTGATTTATCTTTATAGGATTTAAGAGTGATTACTGAGTTCAATTTCTCTCTCAATGGGCACTTGGCATCATCTCACTTCATCAACAACAAAATATATGTTAGGAAAACAACAGCTTTTCAAAAACAAATCAGTTCCAATTGCTCAGTGGTAAATAATTTCCAAAAAGTATTATATTTCTTCTTGGATAGTTTCTCATTTTGGTCAATTGTTCATGACTGTCAAAAAAAAGTTACAAAACTACATACAAGAGGAGAAATCGCTTCGGGACCTGTGTGACTTTGACTCAGAGTTTCACGCCATTGTCAAACCACAGCCTTCCCAGGATCTCCCAGTGTTAGTCCATTAGCCAAACCAGCAGGATTATTCATAACGACTTCTGCTTGGGGCAATGCTAATATAGCTACGCTCCTGATGGAAACCAAACTCAAAATGTGGGCCACATTGCCTTTGACTAAACCACCATATCATGATGGCGCTTCTCTTTTCAACAGAGAAAATGAAAAGGAAAATTGAGGTAATTACGTCAGCAATTTAAGTAAAACAGAAAATAACCAGATACTTGAGGCCAGAGGGGATTGGAGGTTTGAACTATGCAGATAATAATCTGAGCTCTCAATTTCACTTTGCCAAGAAGACAAAGCATTTGATAAATGCATTTTACTGAGCAGAGCTTTCCAAATACTCTGTCTAGTACCCATGAGCACAAGGCCCCCAAACCAATTCTCTCCTCACTCTCTCAGCCGAAAGTGGCATCCATCAAGGCTATTTTCGATCTCCTGTGTACGCAAATTTGCAGAGACAGATGTTGTTTGCCAACAAGCTATCAGGCAAGATATTCTCACAAACATGAGAATATAGCTTTTGTTCATCCAGTTTCTGCTGCCTTTGAGCCTCTGGAGGAGACGGGCCACCATCATGAGAAATACAGAAACAGCTACCGAGGAGTCTACTTCTGTCTCCTCCAGGGAACACGTTCCCTCCTGCTAAGCAGCCGCCACTGCTCCCGTGCCCAGCACCTCCCTGGCTGCATTTGCCCCCTTGTCTCTGTTTTGCTGTTTCGCATTCTTCACTGCTGCTGGCCTGTTGTCACCTCTGACGTCCTCACTCACTCTGCTCCAACTCCAACCCCGAAGGAGGTGGGGCCATCAGCACCTCCATGCCAAGGCTCCTCTGCACTGGTTCTCCTGATGACGTGTGATCGTTTGGTGTGACTTTGGAGCTCATCACTGCCCACCCACTTATGGCCCTGTCTTTTCTCTTTTGGACCCATATTGTTAGCTAATATAAACGAGGACCTTCTGTTCATAAGCCCCTACTTTCAGCCATTAAATATTTCAAAATCATTTCAATTGTAGACTGTCAAATTTGGTAACATTTCAATTTATTCATTCCCTTATTGTTACTGGATGGATTAGGACTTTTTGGTTTTCAGCAGCATGATAGATATTGATGAATAGATAGATATTGATGATAGATATAGAAGTTTATCGGCTGTGATGGTTCATTTTGTGTCAATTTGACTGGGCTATGGGTTGCCCAGACATTTGGTCAAACATTATTTGGGATGTTTTTGTAGGGTGTTTCTGGATGAGACTAACATTTAAATAAATAAGTAAAGCAGATTGCCCTCCTGATGTGGGTGGACCACATTCCATCAGCTGAACGTCTGAAAAGAACGAAAACGCTGACATTTGCTTGGCTAAGAGGGACTCCTCCCGCCTGACTGCCTTTCGAACCGCGACACTGGTTTATTCCTGCCCTTGGACTCAAACTGAACAACGGCTCTTTTTGGGTCTTGAGCCTGCTGGCTTTCAGACTGGACTGACACCAACAGACCTCCCGGGTCTTGCTAACGGCAGATCTTGAGACTTGTCAGCCTTCGGCTATTAGTTTTTTTTCTCTGGAGACCCCTGACTAATACATCAGCTAATTCTGCTGTTTGTTTTGTTTACTCCCTGAGTATGTTTTTTTCTAAATCACACATTTGGCTTGTTTTATATTGTCTCCCCACTAGCTAATAATTGAGGAACGTCATTCTCAAAAGCAATTGATCTGTGGTCAGCTTGCTTTTTCCTTACAAATGTGAGATGAAAGCAAATACGTGCTAGGCTAATGGCCCCTACTCTCCATCCTGTTACAGGTCTGTCCTGCCAAGTTCTCTGGGAATCCCTCACACTGTGCCTCACAAACAAGTGTCTCCCATGGACTTTTTCTCCTGCTCTTTTCCCACTTCCAGAAGCTGACTGGCTTATATTTTCCACAGCTGACGATGCACCTTCATGACCCATCATGTCTGTGAGGCTCCCAGAGCTATTTGCCGACACTTGAGGACCCAGAGTAGCACTCGCTTCTGTAAGGTGGGATTCTCCCTAAGTCAGGAAAAGGATTTCTCCTCAAGTCTGTGTCACATCCCAAAACAAGGGATGACAGCCAGACCTTGGGGAACTGTCATGAAAGACTATGCAACTCTGGGCAGAAGCTGAGCTCCCTGTCTTTCCAGTTTTTACTTTCCTCTCAAAGTCTTAAAATTGTAGGCTCAGTTTTAGCCAGAGCTCAAACTCCAGGTGAAGTGTACTTCTTTACCCTCAGCGGCCTCGCGGATATGGCTCCCAACACAGGGCCCTAACCGGGGAGCTCCATATGGAGAGGGCAAGCTTCCTCCAGCTTCAAAGATTGCTGCCCTTCCCTGTTGCGTTAGGCAGCTTATTTCTCCCTCAATGTTTGCGAAAGTAGGAATAGGATGTTGAGAGCAGGAAGGAGCAATATCTTAAGAAAAACAAGGTCACTGTTTTAAAGATCTTCATTTACAATTATTTTATTAAACAATCGTCTTCTACATGTCATCAGACCTTACCCCTGAAGTGCAAAAAAAACAGTTTGAGGTATTAAAACTGAAAGAACACTTGCACATATTTCGTAAGGTTTTCACACTAGAGTAACTGGGAGATTCAGTATAACTAAGTACAACACTTAACTGCAGGTTTATAGGAACAAAGCTGTAGAAAACAAACCTGGTTTGTCTCATTGTAGCTCTTATTCTCCCGTTTATGATGAAAGGTTGGCAAAAATTAATACGAGATTTAAGTTGCTTTCAAAATGATACATCCATTATCCAGTTTTATAAAATGGGGTATGGAATTTTAAAGGTCAACGGCTGAAACAGCAGCCAGCCCCAAAGCACAAAAATCAAACTGACAAGCCGGCTTCAATGATGTAACGGCCTATTCACAGGATTTAATCCTCAGATCAATGGCAATTCACTTAAAGTATCTGAAATCGATTTACCAGAATATTCCAGTACTATCCACTTGCCTATAGGGTCATGTAAGGAGCACAGTCCATATTTTTTTTTTTTTTCTGTAGAATTTTTCCCTTTAAATTCAAAAACAAACTTGTTAACACAGATAAAGTTCAGAATGGTCACTTCAAAGTTATTTTGAACTAATACAGGGAAAAGGACCTTGGCTTGTAAGGTTAGACTTTTTGTTGTTGTTGTTGTTGAGGAAGATTGGCCCTTAGCTAACATCTGTCGCCAATCTTCCTCATTTTATGTGGGATGCCGCCACAGCATGGCTTGATAAGCAGTGCTAGGGCTGCACCCAGGATCTGAACCTGCAAACCGCAGGCCACCAAAGTGCAGTGTGGGAACTTAACCACTACACCACCAGGCAGGCCCCAAGGTTAGACTTTTTTCTATTGAAGAAATTATCTGGAGACGTCCCAGATCCCACTTCACTTTGTGTCTGCACCCTGAAAGGGAAAGCTGAGGCAATTTCATAGCTAATTATCATAATATAAACACTCTCTTCTGAACTATTCAGGCAAATTAGTGAAAAGGTGTTTTCGATTTGATGATTGACTTAATTATTAACATCAGAGCTTCACTTGAAACAAATCTAAAATTGCATAGTCATTTGCATGTGGTATAGTAAATTGAGTCCTGAATAATGGGTCACAAATATTGAATAGAAATTAGTCTTTACAACAATTTTTCCAATTAACACAGCACTTCTGGTAGCTGCACATGCTCAGTTTGGGTGTTTGTCATTGAATTATTTGTTCAACTGTGTGGTTCGATTGAACAAAGGGAGGGTTGATTATTTTGTAAGAATATAGGCTGCTTAAAACTTGGCTTTTTAAAATTTTTTACAAAACTGCTAAATGATCAAATGCTTCTTGCAGTTTACTATTAGCGGAAAATACTCTTTATTCCGTGGTCATCATGACACCTTCAAGAAGACACCTTAACGGGTAGGCCTCCTCCAGTGTGTTTTGCCACCATCAGAAATTTGTGAGGAAAGGAACATTTTTTTCATGGAAACACCAACAAAGTTCTGCAAAACACACTTAACCTGTTTCCTCTTTGTTCTAGAAAAAAAGGAACCTAGGTTGTTCTAGGAACGCTATGCTTATGTGCAGGGACAATGCCTTCTTGCCACAGCGACCGCTTGCTTTCGCATAGAATGGCTCCTGAATTAAGAATACTGTTCGCAGGGCCACCCCGCCGGGAGCAAGGCTGTGACAGCCGCGGAGCTGCTTACCTGCGGGGAGAGTCAGCTTGTGCGATGTTCTCCCTGCACCAGAAGGAGAAAACTAATCCCAGCCAGTTCTATTTAAATGAATAATGATCTGGGGTCACTTCGCATCCTGTGGAGGTTAACGACTATTTTTACTGCTCGCTCCACAAATGGATGTTTCAGGTTGAGATACATTTCCCAAGAGTTTATTTTTAAATGAATGTCGTCACACATGGAAATCAGCCAAAAGCACAGGAGGTCAGAGAATGAGCAATTAAATCTCAGGTGTCCAAGTCGGCCACTCCAATTAAAACATATCCCCAAGCTGGAATCAAACAAAAAGCAACTTTCATTGGAGGACCACATATGTAAATCTAAATGCCATCGCATTGGGTTTTAATGCTTAAGGGGAAAAAATGCAACAAATTCATTTTCTTCTACTCCCACCTTTTATCTCTATAACCAATAACTTTTAAAAATTGAAATAAAATGAAACATAACTGATCCTGTAAGATCTAAGTCCTGAATATTGTTTGCTTATTGTCAGTATACCCATTGGTGCCATACAAATAGGACTGACCACATACATAGGTGACAAGAGCAATATTATCAAAATTCTTTCACTATCATCATGCTGATGAGCTACACTGTGAAATCTATCAAACCTACAAATATCAAATGCTGGCTGGCATTCAATTCAGACAGGACACTGACTGCAGTCACAGGCGATATAGTCAGTGAAGCCTTCTCTGAGGACAGGGACCTGTCACAGTCAGTCAAAGACTGGGTTTCTTATGCCGTTCAACACCAAACTGCTGGGTGCCTTCCTGTGTAGAAGGGCCAGTGAGCAGAGGAGAAGGGAAAAGCTCGTGACTCCCAGAACGACCAGTCCCGATATCAGTGCGCTGGTGACGGCGTTCAGCTGAAAAGGAGCTGCACTTGCAGAACCTGCGGGAAATAAAACACACACAGTGGAAAGGTCCAACGGCAGAGTTAGCTCACCTTAGCCCAATTTACACTTGCAAAACATCTGTCCTCAGTATCTCGTAGAAGAATAGCATGACAATGGATCATGCTGCAACCTATGTGACTATAATTCAATCCAATAACCAAAGGACTATGCGCTCTAGAGTGGCCTGGTATCCCCTGGGCAGACCCCCCGCAAAATCCATAAAATGCTAAAAAAATTGACCAATAGGTCACATATGAGTTCAGAAATCCTCAGTGATCCGTTATTTAACATATAACAAACTTGTAAAACCAGAGCTCATTATATTTAGTTGATTAGTTTTGTAAATGACCACCAAAAAATACTTAACATTTTTAAAAATCATACTTTTATTTTCAATATATGTTAATTATCTTACCAAGCTGTGAATTGTTGGTTGGAGTCTCATCTAGGGGGGAAAAAAAGGAGAAAGAAAACAATATCGTGTCTCCAAATATTGATCTATGTTTATTGTGATTCCAGAATTACTTTCTACCTCCACGTCCCCTCACCTGCACCCACAAGCTCCATGGGGCAGGCAGTAATGAAAATCCTCCTAAACCATTCTGCTTCCCATCCTCTGTTCCAAGTGCCTGAGATTTCATCATCTAACCGTGTCCCAAGCCCACACCCGGCCACTGCCCTGGATACACACACACGATCACAAAATACACTGTGCTGTGCTCTTTCCTGCCAACCTTGCTTCATCATTATCTCTTTAGTCGGGTTAGTGGGGGCAGTAATTGGTAATAGCTATTACATTTTTTATAGCCCTATAACCTGCCATTTGTTATTCTGTTATAGAGAAATATTCATTATTTAGTGCCATTCTATTTGAAGTGTTGCCAATTTGCCCATCGTAATCTGCAAAAACATCATTTTAAGTTCCAAGAAGATAAATTCACACTTAATAACTAAAGGAGAGGAAAGCATGACTCCTGAGCTGGAGTTGTGGTTTTATTTTCATCTGTTCAGTAACAGACTGACGCTGTTGATTTTTCACTTTCCCCTGGCAAATGTCATCATAGATGCAATGAGCACATTCACTTGGTTTCCCAATTTTTATTACCCATTCTGTAATCATGTAGCAATTAACCCCTGAGCTTGTACAACGAGTGGATTTCACATTTGTGTTTAAGTATGTGGGTGTGTATGTTTGTTATTTGAACCATAAAATGTGTGCAGTTGACTGTTTGATTTTAGAATATAAACATTATTATAATTAATATGTATGCAATGCCATACAGTTTATAATGTGCTGTTTCATATGTCATCACATTCAATCCTCTTCATAGTCATAGGGTTTGATACTATTGCTATCCCCATTTTACAGATGAAGAAACTGCCATCTGTCACAGCCTCCATGATAGTAAACATACGTTTAAACAAAAGCTCAGTTTTTCCAGAATCCTTTTTCTAAAATAATGTAAACTCGCCACTATGGAAAATATTTTTGGTTATAGAGAAGAATATCTCGAGCTGTGGAACTCCAGAATTAGTGTTTGAAACATTGATGGGAGAACCTGGTGAGACATTTACAAATCAGCTGATGCCATTTCTTTTCAGACATGTGAGTCTTGGCAAAATGATGGTTCTGCTGTTTGATGCTGAAGTACAAGGCCCAAAATTAATCAAGCACTCATTCACAGGATTCTTTAGAATGGCACAGTGCGCTGCTATAGGACAAAAAGAAAAACAGCGCAAATTTTCCTTATAAGACACCCTTAGGAAAATCCTAACCTCCAACCAACACCATTTCATAAAGACAGTTCCTTCTCATGAAAATAGATGGAATGAATGGACTGTGATCAACTTATCCAGAAGATTCGCATGTCCCTTCTCCAAAACCAGCAGGCTCACTGGGACGTGGGAAGAACATATAATGCCTTTTTAAAAGTTATTCTTTGCTTAGAAATACAGTTATTTGCTTTCAAAAAATGTTTCTATTAAAGAATAGAAAACTCCTTCCTCCTATTTGTCCCAAATTAGGCAAAAGTGCTAAGACTGGATGCACCCACTATTTTCTGTACCTCGAGATTAACAAAAGAGGTCAGAATATCCCCTCCTGTCCCATGTTATTGCCAACACTTCTGTAAGAACAATATCCCAGGTGTCACCCATGAGGACCTGGTTGTGGACAAAACCTCTGTGTGGGGACAAAAGATGCCACATGAGCTATACCAGCTCCAGGTTCCAGGACTCAGAAAAGCTGAAGGCATCCTACCTTTGGCAGGTGGCTGCAATCAAAGCGTGTAATATTTGAATATTGTTTGGAACTGTATTTGATTGTGGATAAAGGTAGAGAAAAGCATTATTGGGTGGTTGTTTCTGGTATCCTGCAATTTTAGTAACATTGCAAAAAAAAGCAATGCACTGTCTAGCCCAGAAAGAGGAAGCAGATAATTTCCAGGAGACTTTTGTCGCCACACACTTCTGTTTTTCTCTCACACACACTTGGTCTTAACATATACATATATGCTAAAAAGAAACCTTCTGGAATTAGAAGAGATTGGAATAGTAAACTTGGTGGGCGCTTCAAAAAACATACAGCTAGCTGAGGAGCCACAGGACAAATGTGATAGCAGCAATACCACAGCTATTGGAAAGCCAGAAGTGGCAGATAAACTGTCATTCTCTGCTTTTCTCTCATGCAAGTAGTTGAAATAAATGGATAAAATGAACATCAGTGCAAAGATATATGCAGAACGAACATTTTTCCTTTCTTAACATAAGCTCACTATTTGTTTGAAAAATCTTCAATTACTTTTGTAGTAAAATGGATGACATATTTCAAAGTTCAGAACCTCCAAACATGTTACTTGCCACTGTATTATGTTGGTTAATGGTCTCTCTCTACCTTTAAATTCAAAGATTCCCGGAGGCAAAGACCACGGCTTTCTCTAGTGTATTTCCAGTTCGTAGCAGAGTGGCTGTTCCATGCAAAGACTAAATAAATATGCTCAAACGGATCATTGACTACCCATAAAACTCAATAACACTAGTTGAACAAGAGTTTGGCTTGGACTTCTCCATGGGAATTTATGTAAAAAGAAAAATTAGATACTATTGTCTTCCACTGATTGTATCTTTGAATTTACAGAATTGTTCCCCCCATAAGCATTTCCCTACCAAACAGTTTTAGCATTGGCTGCTTAAGATAACACTTCAGGAATTTTGAGGATTTTGAATTTTGAGGATGCGAATATTTTCTTAAATCAACTATCAAGAGGATTAACGATGTTGGGTAAAAATACCCAGAATGTGTTTGATTTCAATTATAAAACCCAAACAAACAGAAGTTCTGAGTTTTAACAACTTATGAAACTTGACCTAAGCCAGATGCCCAGGGGAAAGGAGTGGGTCAATGAGTAAACTGAGCAAAAATTCCAAGGATCAGAGAGTTTTGCAGAGAGCAAATCGAGCCTGAAATTGAACTTGTCTATATGAAATCAACCGCAGGTCCTGGGGAGATAAATTCTAGATGACCTAAGGTAAAAACAAAGTGAAACTAAGGACAGACAGTAGCCCTGGTCACTAAGCTGAACCTTAAGTTTACGTAGGATTTGCCTGTGGATGGACATGGCTTGATTTCTGAGTTCTTGTTTATGTGGAATTTAAAATAAATTTCTTTGCATGGATATTACAGTATTATACTGTAGACGTTGTTACATATGGTCCTCTATGCTGTAAGGCCACCATGATCAACCAAAAATGAGGACTATCTTATGGCTATTTACCAAAATTACAAAATAATCTAGAAGAGAGCGAGAAAGGAATGAACATGAAGGTTTGAACATGATCCTTTGGGAGCTTTACAGGTGGAGAGACTGATGTCACTAAGAGACAACCCTAGTGTGTCGGGAGACAAATGTGATCCTTGAGGTGGAACCAAATCAAACTTGGAAAAGAAGAAATCCAAGCATAACACCAGAGGCATTGTTATAGAAGGCATTAGCTCTGTCAGGCATGGATTTTAGCATTAGTTTTAGCATGGATATCTTGGGCGACTGGATATGGCGTGAGTGAAACCCACATACCTGGATAGCTGGTTAGCTATGGTAGAATTAGAAACTTCTACTTGTTGATCTTTACGGAATTTGGGATCTTCCAAGAACAGGAAATACAATAGAGAAAGCCATGGTCTTTGCCCTCAGGGATCTTCAAGTTCAAAGGTAGAGACAGACCAATAACCAACATAACACAATGGAGAGTAAATTTGGAAGTCTTAGTAATTTTTGTCTGTTTAAAAATTATCTTACACTAGCAAATTATTTAAAATTTGTAAAATTTAAATTTGATTTGGGCTGGGTAAGAAGGAAGCAGGGAGGTTAATAAGGAGGAAAAGCCATCTACTCAACATGGACAAAGAGATGTTGCTTTCCAGGTGCTTTTCTTATAGCAAACTGACTCCAGATGTGCTCCATAGAAATAAAAATATTTTTGATTGTGCCTACCCAAAAGCATTCCTATTATTAGCAACAGGAGCTGAGTTTCCACGCAGTGTAATTCGGTGAGCTATTTCTGACAGCTAGATAGAGGTGAGAACTGGCCTTTCACAAGCCACAAACTAGTCATTTTCAAACCATTCGAAACACAGACCGAGGCTTCAGGGAGTATAGACTAAGTTTGAAATTTCATATTTAATAAATTTCTGTATTATTTTAAAGACCTATCAGTTTGTTTTTAAATAATGCTGTCTACACAAACATGGAGGAGTGAATAACTAAACCAATTATGAGGATTTTTCAGGCCCAAACTACTTTTTGCTTAATTAACAATTTCAGGCAAAGCTTTCTTTTTACTATGGGACAGGAGGCGTGGGAGAAAAGGTAAAGACGATCTCAAACATAATAATAGCCTTACAGCTAATATAAAATAGAGAAAAAATTTTTAGGGCATAATCCAAACTAGAATTCTGCTTTTTTAAAGAGAAGTTTAGAACTATAGAGTCAGAAAGAATCTTAAAGGCTACTTTTTCAAACACTCATTATTAATCCAGAGAAGTAAACTAAAATTCCTAGTCACATAGCCTGTTTGGATGAAAGCTGGAACTAGAATCAGTTTTTCTGACTCATGTTCTGTGTTGTTTATACTGCATGTGTGTTTTATCCACCTGATTCTGGATGTCTCTGGGATCATGCTGAGGTAAAAGCAATAGCCCTTTAGAGAGTGTGTGTTTGTGTTTGTACATGCATGCAATAATGTTTGTATACATGAGAATATATGTGGATAAACAGTTGTGTCCATTAGATTCATGAGCACGAATGAGTGCACTGGAAGGGGGGTGTAATATTCAGGATCCTCAGAGGAAACAAATGGTACTCAAATTGGGCGATTTAGGGAGAGTTTAACAGGACTATTTATAAAGACGTGGGGAATTCACAAGAGAAAGTCAAGTTACCTGGGCTATGGGTTAAGGAGAGGGTTTTCAGAACTTTGAGAGTAGTTTCTGGGAGACAGTCATCTGGCAAGAGCTCTGTGGCCTTCACTCGCATCCTCTGATGGCGCCACCTCTTGGCCAGGCCCAACCAGAGCCCAGAGAGCAAGGCAGCTGGTGGATGCAGATCAGAGAGCACGGCAGGGCAGGGTAGAGGGAACCATGTCCAGCACGGTATACTTGTGTGTGTGTAAAGGGAAATGTGGTCAAAACAATATTGCCCTTTGTGTGAACGTTGAGTAAACAGGAAACTACCGTGAAATTAAAGTTGCTTAGCAGTTTATCTTGTCTCACAGTTAATTAGTGCTGTTTAGGAACCACTTTGAGCCCTCCTTAGAAGGCAAGTCACAAGCCATTTTGGAACCGTCTATTACTACACACGGGAGGAGGAGCGCTCCTACCGCTCCGAGTGATGATGGGGCCAGCAGAGAGGATGGCGTTCCCGGAAGTGCTCTGGGTTCTCCAGGTGGTCCTCCCCACCGCATCTCTCCTTTCTCGGTGGCCGCAAATCTGAGGTGTTAATGGAAACAAATGAAATTCCACACCGCCACGAAATTGTTTCTTTATGGCCATTTGGAAAGAAGATTCTTTTGGAAGAGATACCACATGTTTAGTTTTATTCACTCACTTCTGTGCATTTATTTAATTACTTTGCATATAACTACTACACGGTTTCTTATCCTGGCTTCGGCCACGTTTCTTTTCTCCCGTTGTAATTGTGAACTGCCTCATTAATTTACATAGCTCAGTGGCTCTCCTGAAAAAGAACTGTGTTTATCAAACTCTTCTTTTATTTCTCTCAAGCCTTTAATAAATCGTTCTCTGAAATGTTGGTCAGCACAGAGCCACGGTAACGTGGACTCTCCATTTAACCCCCTCGGATATAGCTAGCTGGGACTAAAGTAAACAAGGGTGGTGAAGAAATGCATGAATTTGAGCATCAATACAAACATATTAAAGCTATTTCACATCAAAAAAAATTGCCTGCATTTTTCTCGGGTTAATATTGAAGTGACCCTAGGAGGCCCTTCAGAAATAGAATGTTTTTTATTCACTAGTAAATGGGTCTATCTTTTAATGACTGGAAGCAGTTCAGATCCTCACCTTTTAAAGCTTTCAATTTTTAATCCAAGGGACTCCCAGGCCATCAGGCCCCACTCGACCTTTCTAGAGCCAGCCCTGCCCCTCCCCAGGTTTTCCCATCATCCTCTTCTCTGCTCCATAGCCTTGCTGAAGGACCGGAAGTTCCCTGGTGACTCTGCTTTATGGGTCTTTAACCATTTCCTCGGCACGGGATGTCTCTCACACTCTTGATTTTTGTCTCTTTGGGGTTCATCTATCTTCAAAGTCACAGTTTGAGTTTCATCTCTTCCACCAAACCTCCCAACCTCTCCTGCTCTTTTTTCACAATGAACAATGCTTCTCTACTGCAACTCATATATATATCTGCCTTTGCGCCATAACCTTTTCGTCTTTGTTTCATTTATGACTGTCTCATGCTCCTAAAGGATAAATTAATTGAATTCAGAATTCATGCACACATGTCTGTATTCCCAGTATTATGCTTGGCACAAAGCAGGCAGTCACTAGGTTTTTACTTGATGAATGAAAAAGCCCTACTTCAAACCGTCTGACCTAATGCATATCCACTTTCTGTATAGAAATTAGTTCCTACCACTTGATAACTTTTCAGCTTAGATCAATTCAACAATTTAGAATGAAATTGCTAAAAACATACTGGCATCAGGAAGGGGCAGTCATCAGCTCTGCAGAGCTTGGTAACGCAGTGTAGGAAGACGGTGGACATTTTCTGATTCTTGTGTTTCACGAATCGGAACACTTCAAAGGAAAACCGGCCCTGCTGGCTTCTGCCGTTTTCAATGACGGTGGTCTGAGGATCTTTGTCACAGCTACATTTTAGGGAATGTGAAAACACGGCATTACTGGAAAGTACCAACCCCTTGTGACTTGTAAATTAATTTCTGGAGTATGAAGAGCACCCTCATTACATTAAGAGCCATCAAAATCATGTCATGTTGCAGATATTTAATAAAAGAATAAGCTAACTCAATAAATATGACGAGTGACCTAGATCACAGAATTTAAACGTCAGTTTCTGTCAGAATTGTATTATTATAGAATTATAATATTACTGCCAGATTTTAGAAGGATTATATTTTCATATGGTTCAAAAATCCAAACAGTATAAAATATATCTAGTGAAAAGTCTCTGTCCCCCCTTCGCCCTTGTTGGTACCATCCCACATCCACCTACACACCTGCCAAAGGTGAGCTCACCTGTCGTTCCATCCTTGCAGGGCATATGCAAATAGAAGCAGAAGCAGCAATTCTTATTGTCTCCCCCTTCTTAAACAAACAAGAGCACACTGTCTATACTGTTTTATACCTTGACTTTCTTTAAATTTAGCAAGGTATCCTAGAGATCTTTGCATATCAATATTTAGAGAGCCTCCTTATTCTTTTTCCACAGCTGTATAGTATTCTATCCTGCACACAGGCCAGAGTTTATCTAACCAGTTTATTACTGATGTACCCTTGCATTGTTTTGAATCTTTTGCTTTTTACAAAGTAATAATGAATAGTCTTTAATACATCATTTTGAATATGTGCTGGGTTATCTATACGATACAGCTGTAGGATCACGTAATAGAGTCTGCCACATTGCCCTCTCTCTCTAAATATTTCCTCATTTTTACTGCCCCCGTGATGTATGAGGAAAATCCATATTGTCCTCAGAGCTACATCAACAAAGTGCGTAGATAAAATTTTGGATTGTTCTCCATTTGGTAGGAAAAAAACAAACTATCACTATATAATTTTAATTTGCCTTTTTCTTACTGTGAATGAATATGTGCATCTTTTCATATACAATAGAGCCATTTATTCCTCTTTATCTGAAAATTGTTTATGCCCTTTGCCCAAATTTTTATTATGTTGTTGGTCTTTTCCTTCTGATTCCAACAAATTCTTGATATGTTAGGAAGAGTGCTCCTTGCTTGTTAAGTAAGTTGCAAATTGTTTGACTTTGTTGTTTGGCTCTGGACATTCCTCACGGGGTGTGTGTAGGTGTGTGTGCACGCGAGCACACGCCCATGCACGCACATATGCATGTGCCCACATAGAAGTTTTATTTTTATGTAGTTTAATTTTCAATCTTTTATTTTATGGCCCCTAGTACTTGGGCTAAAGACAGATTTTTCTTACTCCAAAGTTTGCATTGTATTTTGCATGTTTTCTTCCATGACTTGTAAACCCATAGTTCTTATGTTTAAATTAATAATCTACATAAAATTTGTCATGGTGCACTGAGTGAAGTACAGATCCAGTGCTATTTCTTTATAATTACCCATTGCCCAGCTCTATTTTTAAAAATCTCTGATAATCCCACTGATTTGTGTGCTATCACACTCTATCATATGGAAAATTCCCATATGTTTTGGGTCTATTTTTCAACTTACTATTCTAAACTTTTTTCTATGTGTCTAGCCTCGCATAATGTCACATCCTTTTAATAATTATAGAGTCTTTATTAACTATAATATCTGGTAGGGCTATACTCTGCTCCTTTCCATGTGGTTCCCCCTGCCTTTTTTTTTGTATTCTATGGCTTTGTCATTTATCCCTTTTTGATTAAATTAGCTTGTGATTCTCTATTTTATTTGTTTTCTCAAAAAACTTACTTTTTATTTATTTATTGCAAAACATTAGTTCAGATTTCCATTTCTGATCCAACCGTCATTTAAGAGTTTTAAACTTCCAAGCGATGGTGACTTTCTGTTTTTTGCTATTGTTAGAATTGAGAGCTCTCAATAGATAACTTATTGATTATGTCGCTTAGCTCTTCTGTGTCCTTCCACTAGAACTGTTTCTGGAGAGGGGAATTCAAGTCCCACTTATTATATTTCTTCAAAGTCTTTTTTACGGTTTCCCTAGCTTTCACTTGATGAAAGCTTCAATTTGATCCAAGGCATCCTTTCACTGCATTGACATGTCTTCTTTTAATTTAGGAAAGTGTTCCTGGATCATATTTTAAAATATTTGTTCTATTATATTATTTTGGTTTCTCTCGGGGGGATTCCAATCACACATAGGCGTGTATTGAATTCCCTTTGCCTACCTTTTGTTTCTTTCCTCTCGAATCTTTTTGATCTTTTCCTTTATATTTGTTTTTTGATTTGCAGTTCTGATTTTTACCTTCTCTGTCCCATTCTGCACTTTCTGCTGTCTCTTCTCCCCTGAACACCTTCAAATTATGTCTTCCTTTCTGGAGGACGCTTCTTTTTCTATTCCGTCTTACCTTCTCCCAGTGCCCTCTGCACATTCCTGTCGGCTTACCTTTCACTGTCCCAGCCTTTCTTACCTGAGTTCGTATAATTCTATCTTCATAGCTATAATTACTTTGTAATATTTTTTAACTTAATGTTGGAATGTTTATTTACATTCTTATCCGTTCCATGGCAACATTTTTGCAGTAAGTTAATTCATCTTTACAATTTTTTCTGCTATTTTCCGCATTTTTCTTGTAGTATATTGCAACACTGCAAGAAATGCCTTCATTTGCTCACCATTCATACTGAAAGAGTTGGATTTCCCTAGACCTGCTATTTTCAGCAGACTGTGGGGCAGTATGGAATGATAACGACCTTCTGGTGTAACCGTGTAACTGAGTTTTCTCTGCCTCTCTGAGCTTGTTCTCGAGGGTTCTGTCATCAGCTCTGTCTGTGTTCCTCAGGTTCATTCAGGAACCTATTCCACCACAGGTAGGCCCTGTCTTCCCAGGTAGTCCGTCACCATTAGAAGGTGTACTTTTGCTGGCAATTTATGAGATCTGCCACTTCTGAGGCTCTGGCCTCTCTCCACGCCTTCCTTCTCCGTGTCCCCCAGCCCTGGTGGCTTGCTGGAGCTCAGCCCTGCTCCTACCAACTTCTGCTCAGAGTGGGACCCTCTCCTCGTAGATGCACTTGTCTCCAGGCTGTTTCTGGGATCTGCCACCCCCAGGACCCTCAGCATTCACTTTTCTTCCCTCTCCTCCCCTCCCCGCACTGCTTCCTGCGAGCCTCCCCCTGCACAATTTTCTCTTGATCTTAATTGCTTTTATCAACATTAACACATATTTTGGAATTTCTAGGTTTTCTTTTCCTCTTAGTTTCACTGAAAGTGGCATTTGGGGGACTTTTTTTAGCTACTCCTTTCACTCTCTATAGTTTCCAATAAAAAACTGAAAAGATTCAGAACTTAGCTGCCACCATAGTCATAACCGAGGTCTGACGATGGTATTCCAGATTATCAATGTGTGATCATTACAGAAATTTTGGAAAATGTCCAAGCAAAATAATCCACAATCCTATCATGCTATCATTTAACCACTGTGAACCTTTCGATGTATTTCTTCACAGTCTTGTCTGTCATACGTTGTCTAATGATGTCCATTGTACACACAATTGTATGTGCTGATCCTTTTTACTTCATATTTTAATACAATTAAATTTTAAAGAACCATATATTTCCAAGCATAGAAATATCGAAAGGATAGAAATGGGGGAGATATAGAACTGACCATTTTTTTTCATTTTATAAATAACTTTATATGATTGTAGAACCTGTGTGAGCCCTCAACTTACTGATTCTCCATAATTCATCTACCCATTTCCTTATTACTGAACACCCACTTTGCTCCATGTTTTACTATTTCAAATAGCACTGATAGACCAGAAAGTCATCAATATTTTAGAATGTGTTTCCCAACTTGTAAAAGTAGAATCAAAGAATATGAAATCTTTTAAGGTTTTTGATACATACTGACCTTTTTTCCAAAAAATGTTGTCCAAATTAACACTTCCAGCAACAGAGTACACGAGGTCAGTTTGACCATACCCTCTGAGCATCATCTTAGCCTTGATTAGCCAATAAAACGTTTTCTTTTGGTATTTCCCATCAGATTACTCCCATCACGTGTCCATGAGCAGCAGTGATCTGAGCCAACTGCATTTTATAAGCAGGAGGAGAAGCTATTGCTTGACTCTCAGGTCTGTCTGCTGTCAGATAAAAATGCTGAAAGGGAGCTGGGATGATTGAATGTTTTTATGATCAATGTCCTTTTCCCCCAAATGTAGATTACATTCACTCCATCACTGTCTATTGGGGAATGAAGTTGAAGTTATTGGCTCTGATAAAAAAGGAGTGGTAGGCTATATTATACTTTCGTATTAAATACTGATAAATGAAGAAAAGCATTTTGGGGTCTAAATTGTCTAGACCATTACTTTAATTTTACTCTTCTTTTGACATGATGAGACAGCCTAGCTGCAGATAAATAGTGCCCTCCCACTGCCTTTCTCTTATTGCCAATAATGTCCTAGCCATGCTTTTCCTAAGACAGTGAAATATTCCTAGATGTCCTAAACATGAATAAAACATCTTTGATGGACCTAACTTACTCGCAATTCTCATTCAACAATAGCCTTATCAGCATTTTGTGTTGAAAACTGTTCTTGACTTTTATACTTCCAGCTTTGTAAGGACTAAAAGTTCAAAATGTAAAATTTTAAATTTAAAAGCAATAAAAGAGCCCTATAATTTGTTTATCTGACTTGGATTTTCCATTTCAATTATGTATAATTCAGTCTTTGCTGTGAATACAAGACTTAGACACCTACCTAAGGAAGAGATCATATCGAATATCATCATTTGGGTTCCCTGATGGGGTCGTGTAGCAGTAATCCATTAAGACATTCCATCTGCAGAAAGAGGTAAGAATGATCTAGAGTCAGAATTCTCTGTCGGGTATTTGTTACTAATCCAAGGGCAGTAAATATTGACAAATGTCTCACCCCACGGAATATAGTTTTTTCTTAGTTATTTGCAGAGGCTTCTTGTTTATTAAAAGATTCGCCTAAACTCAAGATGTTTAAAAATCTGCACCAAATTGCCATCCCACATAAAGTGGGGTAAGGCTAAAATTTGTATTCAGGGCAACTGAATGGTCAAAGTCTCAAGAAGTAAACCCCAGAAGTGAGCTACATAGGTGCTTCTATGTTCACTGTGAATAACGGCCTTTTGTTTCTAGAAGTTACTGTCTCTAACACATGACAGAGGATATTATAATAACACATATAGCAAAGGAGTTTCGTGCATAAATTATACGCTGTAAATTATGCCAGAATCAGTCAGGGAGGGAGTGGGAGTTCACGATAGACACTGTGTTAGGCAGGAGAAAGCCATGAGGCAAATGCACAGCCTTCCCCCAGAAGGCCAGATCGTGCCTAGATTTATACATCACTTTATCCCAACTCCGGTGTTATAAAAATTACTAGTCCATCGGATGTGAATGCCAATAAATTTTTTTTAAATTCTGCATTTAGTAAGACAATTTTAAAGAATCCCATATATTCAAAATAGAAATACCAAGAAGATGGAAAGGGAGAAGTTTAAATAGAACCAAATTTTTAGAGTATATTAATCTCTTCAGGTTGCAAAGTTTAAATAATAGCACATGAGAAACCCAAAATAAACCATTTACATGTTACAATTTTTTTATAGGGCAAGATTGGATCTCTAGCTTTTGAATTCCCTTTCGTTTTTGATCATTCTGGATTTTCTAAGTATCACATGAACCTTGATTGATTTTGATTTTTTACAGAGATGTTTCTGGGGGTCGTTTCATATCATTATGGCTCAGATCCTTGTGAGGAGGGTTCTTTTGTTTTCTAAGAAGTTTTTATTGAATAGTAACATACACATTGGAAAGTGCACAAATCATAAGTGATCACAGAATGACTGCATCTGATTAATCATTTTTCAGATGAAAAGATAGAACATCCCAGATCTCCCCATGCCTTCTCCCAGTCACTACCCCTGCTTCTTTATGGGAAGACTTGTTATTTTCTAATTAATGACATAAAACGCGTTGCATCCCTTAATCTTTGTAATTTGTTATTTCTATTCATTAGCACTCCTAAATGATGTAGCAATGGCAGTATTTTTTAAATTAAAAATGAATGAGCTAACTTTGTGATTCACGAGGCTTTAGGCAGCCAAACTGTTTTAACCAACCAAAGATAAGAGTTGGAAAATACCTGCCATCCAGATTAGTGGCCTGTACAGCTGCAAATACTTTGGTTTTCAAAGGTAATCCTGTACTCGGGATAATTAACTGCTGACTGTAGGTTGAATCCTAATGATGAAAAAAATAAATAATGACTCCATCATTGCCTTCCCAACAACAGCACATTTCTACTTAAATCAATAATGTCATATAAAAAAAAGAGGGGGCAAAGCAACATAAAATCTACAGATCTAACTCCAGAAAGAACCTAGTTAGTCCTCTAGTTTCTTGGCAGAACTGTTCTTAAACCAAACCCAAGTAACAAGTTCATTTCCATGCACAAATCTTTTTGTTTCCAGAGTTTGCCATATATGATGGTTGATGTACAGTGTATTTAAATTATAGTCTATGGTTAACAGTCAGTGGCTAATATTTAATTTGTTTAATTGTCAATTGTCTATATGCAGTTTATTTAAATTAATATTCTCTTTATTTAAATTATATCAGTGGCTAATATTTCACTTATTTAAAGTATATCTGCTTAAGTTTAAGCTCTTTGCCACTGGAGTTATAGGTCTTTATACTCTTGATAATCTTTCATTTACCCAAAATCACATATCTGGCAATTTGAAATTATCAAAATTTAATAGAAAATCAAAAAAGAGACCAACATATTCTCCGAGTTGCCAACAGGCATGCTGTTAGGTTCCTGCACCAAATTCCTTGGTGATTACTTAGAGGAGGTCGTCTCAGGACTTCGTTTCTATCTTTTTACTCTTATTTTAGACCAATTCTGGAGAGAAATTTATATTACTCCCCATCCTACGTATATTAAAGCAGCAGATTAGAAATGAAGTGACAGCTTTAATTTGATAATAAAGAAAAACAGAGAAAAAAATATAGAATGCACAAAATAACTCCTAAAAACGAAAGCTGTCAAATCACGAAGTATGGAGGAAAATTGTTTCCCCCAAATTGAGTGACTCTGAAGATATTGCTACTTTGCAGCGAAGGGAAATTTTTAATGTTCATTATGAAAATCTCAAAGTCATCAAGCAAAGGCAAAATACAGCACAAGGCTGGGAAGAAAGCAACAGATTTTGAATTGTTTAGCTTAAAACAATAATAGTTTGAATGCTTCACTTTTCAAAAAGTTGCATTTATGTGGAACATTTCATTCCCACATAAAGCCGGATAAATGAGGGATTATATGCTGTACGTATTTTCTATATTTCTGTGATAAATGATAATAGCTCCTCTAACCATTTCTGATAGGTAATATTTTTATTTAATTATCTTTCTGGCTCCCCTTTACAGCTTCGCCATATAATCCACCTTTCATTAACTATACAACTCTTTCATCTTATGCTTGCATCAATATCGTCCAGAAAACTACTTACTTTTTTACAAGTATTATATTGCTAAGTCATTTGCAAATGATATGACTCAGCTGTGGTTTGATCACGACTCATCAAATTTTTCTCTTAAAATTGCTTCTAAAAGGTAATTTTCTGACTTTATTTTGTATAGTTGCCTTTATTCATTAGTACAGTATAGTCCCTAAAGTGAATTACTTTTATTTAAAATTTTTCTTCAACTATAAAAAAATATTCTAATTGCCATAACTCTCTTTCAGATTTACTGTTTCTGTATCTGCTCAGAACACACTAATATTTAGGTATTATTTATTTTAGGTATTATTATTAATATTTAGGTATTATCAAAGTCAGCCTCACTTTCTATTTCCACATAGGAGAAAACTCGTATCTTTGTGTTACACAAAAATAAGGCCGCATCAACTTGAAATAATCTGCGTATATGGAAATTGCATAGTCAATAAAAGTCATTGTTTTTTATAAATAAAATTTGCCTAAGTACATTTACTGAATCCCAGAACACATAGAAATAAACAATTGCACTGAATCCAAACTGGGTACAACTTTCCTCTCCAAATAATTAAACTGAGAATAAGGGTAATGGGTGCATAGTGTGTAATGTAACTTTCCATCATTCCTAAGAATTCAAACTCAAAAACTCTGCACGGGAAATAGGAAGACATGGTCGTAAAATAATAGTTAATTTGAAATGCTACGATAAAATTACATTTGGGTTGCTGAATGTTAGCATTCTGAACAAATAAATATGATTTTGGATTCAATTAGTGAAAGCATACCAAATTTTCTTTCTAGTGTAAATCACTAGTTTTCTAATGCCCCGTCACGTGGCGAAATACTACAATGGAGCCACATTAGAAAACTAGTTTTGGGCAGTGAAATTATTCCGTGGGATACAGGAATGATGGACTCATGTCACATGTAAATGTCAAAACCCAGAGAATACACAACGTGAAGAGTGAACCTAAATGCAAACTGCTGTGTTTAGTTAATAATATATCAATATCGGTTCATCAACTGTAACAGACGTACCCCATAATATTAGGTGTAAACAATAGAGGAAACTGTGTGCAGACACAGGAGGTCTGGGGAAACTCTCTGTACTTTCAGATCGATTTTTCTATACACCTAAAACTGCTCTAAAAAAATAAAGTCTGTTAATTAAACAAAAAATCTAGTTTGTAAGGAAATGGTTAAATTGTATTAAATAAATGGTTAATAAATAACTTTTAAAAAATTCCATTTAATTTTTTAATTCAACCATTAGTAATACTTTTGTTGCAAACTGGTGAAAAATGAGAAGTACTTTGGCATTGCCTGTTTTATTTATAGTCTGATATCAAACAATTGGTTACCCTTTTACCATAGAATTAAAATCTTAAGGTTATCATCAAATTATAGGCTTTTATTTAGCATTAAGATTCTAGAAACTTTTTGAAGGATTATGTCTATTTAGCAGCAAGACTACAATACTGTTTCTAATGACAAAGAAAAGAACTTGACAGCAAAGCTTTCCTCAAATCCGCACTTATAAATTTTGGTTTTCTGCTTTTCCAGTGAGAGAATAATTTAACTTCACAGACAATAATGGTATCATTAAATGCCATGTGGGTATATTTTTTAAGATCAGGAATTCTCCTCTTTGTTTCACTTAATTATAATAAACAATACTGAATCCAAACCTGCCTTCCACCTCAAGGAGCTCACACATGTAAATCAACAGATAGAAACTTCTAATTTAAAAATATGGCTCACAACAACAATATCTGGCCATACTGGGAGTGAATATTGGCACATATTTGCTGAGTATTGTAGAACCAAGTAACTTGGCAGCTTCTCCTTGTAGGAGAAAGTTTAGAAATGACGGAAAGGCAATCTTCATTCCCACACATTTTAATTTGTTGTTTAGAACTCTGTGGTGTCAGACTACAAACTTATAAACATGATTTTTCTAAATGCCTTTGGAAAATGTCCTACTACAATATTTATAGCTCATTATATGCAAAGTATAAAGCACTGACTTTTAAATCAGTTGCATGAATTATAACTCAGTGCCATGATGACATGAATAATAATGTAAAAATCAGATTCATAATTTACAAAAATGTTGGTTGATAGATTGAAAAATTGATATTTAAATCAGGCATTTAAAATGTATGAATAAAAATTTTTAATCAACATGAAAATATCATTTGGGGGATTAATGTTAGAGTTATAAATAGAAATCCATGTATTTTTCACATTTTGCTGTCACTGTCGATATTTACATGACAAAAGTTTAAACAATACTATGTAGTCACCCCAAATTATTTCAGATGTGATAGAATTGTCGTCGACCAAAACCCAGATTGAAAATATTAACACATTCATCGCCATGCACACCTTTAAGAGAGGCATCAGTTGGATTTTTCCTGTCTTTTTATCACAAAAATATTATTCCCAAAATGTTGATCCTGACTACGACTATACACACACATACTCATATAAATAAATATGTACATGTAAATGTAAGTAGACATGAAGTAACTACGCAGAATCACATTTATAAAATAAATTTACATCATTTACCAACTTTTAGAAAATAATGGAGTTTTTAGTATACCTTCATCACTAGGATATATGAAAATGGTAGTAAAGATGGATAAATGTTACCGAAGTATCACGGGGTTAATGTGGCTTTCGGTAGACTTTTATGTAAAAGCCATTCGCATAAATGGCTCCTCAGAACAGTGAGAGAGAAAATAACATCCTTCACCCATCAACTTACGTTATAAAGGAGCAGGTTCAAAGTGCTGACAAATGTACCATTGTTCTCTCTCACAGAAATAGCAGCTGAGGATCTAAAACAGATTTGGAAAATGGAAAGCATTGATGAGATTTTAAATTAAAAGTTTCAGTTAGATTTAAGTCACTAAAACTCTTGCGTAAGCCTGGCATGCTTTTAAGTAGGTCTGGCGTACTGTTTAAATCACTGAACAGATAAATAATCAAAAAGCAAGAGGGACCAAGGAAAGACGAACTGTCCTGATGATCTTTTCATTTGTCAAGGCATCTTTTTCCCATATTGCATTACATTGCAGAAAAATGTCATTCCAAAAGAATTTGAATCTGACGCAAATAACTTCTCATCAATTCAATTAGAATGAAAGTTTCATGAGATGGGAGATTTTGTTTCACTTTGTTCACTGCTGGAACATTGCACGGTGCCTAGTAGGTGTATAATAAATATTTATTGAATAAATGAGTAAATTGCCATGCACACTGAAGCTCAGGAATGTGTTTACTGGGGGAGCGGAGTGAGAGACTGTGACACCCTACTGGCTTGCTTCCCTCTACATCTGCATCCTTTTGACTCAAGGTCTTTCCTGTCTTGTTTTCCACATCAAAATCTTGCTTTTGACCAAGGTGTTTATCACCATTGTGACATTAAACCATCATGAATTTTTTTTTTAAAGATGCTTTCTCTATCTCTCTCTCTTTTTTTTTTTAAGATTGGCACCTGAGCTAGCATCTGTTGCCAATCGATTTTTTTTTTTTTCCTTCTTCTTCTCCCCAAAGACGCCCAGTATATAGTTACATATTCTAGTTGTGAGTGCCTCTGGTTGTGCTATGTAGGACGCCACCTCAACATGGCCTGATGAGCAGCACCATGTCTGTGCCCAGGATCCAAACAGGTGAAACCCTGGGCAGCAGAAGTGAAGCGCACGAGCTTAACCACTCAACCACAGGGCCAGCCCCTGTGAATGTTTTTTAACTGAAGCAAAATGTGGCCTCCATGTTCCCTCTTGACTAAGATTAAACAATAACTACACCTGTGTGATCATAAACCCTGGAATTGGAGAGGGAAAGTTTTCACTCAATCGCCCCATTTTGTCAAAAATAGTTGACAAATCCAGATGATTCTGCTGTAATGTGGAGATAGCGCTGTCTCAGAGTACGTGTTTTGGGGATAACAAGTGCATCATGACATGACTATAAACAAAAGGCTGTGACCTCAGTCCATGCCTGGAGCTCTCTGGCTCTGGGTGATGCCACCTTCCTTTGGGAATCCTCAGCACCTGTGCAGGTGACACCTCAGCAGGAGGCATGGAGACCCCAGATTTGGGTCAGTGAGTCCAACAGTGAGAGCATGTGGCAGAGACTGAAGCCAAGCAGGACCCAGCAACGTAGTGACTGAATGTTCTACACAATGGACACATGATAGGCCCTTTTGCACTGCGTAAGCACCCAGAGTTCTTGGACAATTCTGAAGGGAGCGAGGAGAACCCAAGGCAACCCCCTAATTAGTTTGAACCAGTTTTAATCTGGGGGGGAAATAAAATGTATATACACCCTGAACTATTGATATGGGTTATAACAATTATAGATGATAGATAGAAAGATTAGATAGATAGATAGATAGATAGAAATATTAGGCTTAATATGGCTTCCATTACATTGAGTTTGACTATTCTCAATAAATCCTGCCATCTTTATAAGACCCTCAAGGATAAAAAATGACTCAAACATAAAAACAATATGAGATAGCAAGAATAAAATGCAAACTTACGAAGCAAGCTGGGTATTATTAACCAAGTATTCCAACGGATAGCTACAACTAAACTTGTAAAGAAGCCCAGGTAGATAGCTGATGATCGTTGGTGGGTCTGGAGTATCAATATATCCCGAAATATTTCCTATTTGTACTGAAGTTGCATTTCCATAAGCACTGACTCCAGGAATTGTAGATACCTGTTAGAATGATAGATCAAGTTCAATGATTAAATAGATATATATAAATACAGGCATTTCATATACAAGAACAAAACATTAGATGAGACCATTTCTAGGGTCTGTTCCAACTATAACATGCATGGTTTTGAGATTATACACTCATAATGCTATTTATAAGTGATTATATATGTCTTTTAACTAAATGAAACTTCATATTTACCAAAAACATTTTATTCATATTTCATAAATAAGAAAAGAGAAAGATCAAATGTTCACAGTGAGTAATTTGAAAATGGTCACAAGTAAACTCTGAATTCTGTGGCATGGCTTAAATGATCCCTGTTAATCTGATCTTGCTTTCCGCTTTAGCTTCATATCTCCAGGCTCCCACTCTTGGTTAATAATGCTCCGGCCCCAAAGCCCATGTTGCTCTGGCCTTCGTGCATCCTCCTTCTGCTTTCTCTTTCCCCCACTTCACTACTCGTCCCTGGATCTCATCTTCCCTGGGAAACTTCTCCTGACTCCTCCACATGCATTGATTCTCCCCATCACAGCAGGGGTCACTGTGCATGAGCAGCCCCTGACTGGGCAGTCCCCTCAGCCGTGATCAGAGCTCTTTGTGGGTAGGGAGCCCTCTCAGTCTTGCTTGCCTTTGCATCGTCAGTGTAGCACTGTGAGACCAGTGTCTTCAAGCCCCTGAGACAAATTCTGAACAGATGCATTAAGGTCAGACATTTTCTGAGGGCTGATCTTCCCGGGTCTTCCTCTGCGGTGCATGGGATTCTCATCCCCTCCAGGGCAGTAGACCACAGGTGGGTTTCATGAACTCCCAGAAGTCATATAAAAATATTATCCATTTGTGTATTTTCCTGGGACTGATTAGCTTTCATTGGATTCTCCAATCCCACTAAATTTAAGAGCCACCGTTTTAGGAATAATCAATGATGTTCTTGACTTCACAATGCCATAGAGGAATATAGCCTCTCCTACCACATCAAATACAATATGATGCTCAGTAAATATTTTTAGCAGATATTACGGAGACCTGTAATACCCAATTTTCAACAATAGAATAAACTTTATGCTTGAACGCAGGAACACATGGGCAAAGGAGAGGCAATTATCCAGCTAATTCATGAACAGAGTCAGAGTCGTCATGAATGAAAACATTTCGATTCCAATCCAGTGATTTAGTACTCTGCTTAATTCTTCCCATGAAAGACTGTCCTTGGAGCAGACACCAAAGCTGGTGACATCTAAGGCAATAATGAAAACCAAGCAAATCTTCCCTCCTCTCACCACCTGCCTGACTGGCTACCTAAACATGCCAATTCTGTCTGAAAAAGACAACCCCACATATATATCATTTTATACAAGTTACGCAGCTCTGAAGAAAGTAAAACACACATCCACACACAGGCATGCTTCTCCTGGCTTTTCTGCTGAGTTGTTTTCTTGGCGGTAGGGTCAGATGACTGAAATCCAGAGAAGACAGTGCCATGAAGGAGAAATCTTGAGCTGTGTCGGGAGGAGGGGAAGGGCAGCTGCTCTCCGCAGGCTCCCTCCCTCCACAGGGAGACGCAGCCCCGCGATACTCACTCTCCCTTCGGCCCACTGCATAACCTCTCTGCACACAACTTGAGAGATGAATAAACGTTTTTAATAAAAAGAGTCAACAAAACTCAAGCTGCAGGCTTGGAAAGGGTCATGGGCACAATATTCTAACTGCCCTCCCTCTGGGAACAGATAAAGGAGATGCAGACAAATCTCTTCTTCCTGTCTCCCAACTCTCACCACGTCTCAGAAACCCTGCCTGTAGAATAATCAAGCCTTAGTGCCAAGCAATAATTTATGGAGAGGAAAAGCCAATTTCTCCTTCTTCACTGGGCTAAGTTGTCATGCCCATGGTATCTCCTTTTTGTCTGTGCTAGGATTTACCAATATGTTTAATTTAAACAAGCAAAACGAAAAGATCGTACTAAATGAATTTCAGCGTAACACTCCCAAAACCACAATATTTTAACTTCAATTAATTTTAATTCCCAGGAGAGTCAATTCCTTATTCAATTCTATTTTTTGGTGTTCGATGCATGGATAAATAAATAAATAGCATAGACGAGTGGTTCTTATTCAGGGTGTAAATATTTGAAGCGGTGTTTTGATTTTCACTGGAGAAAGTGTGCTACTGGAAAGAGAATGCCACTGGGACTTTATGTGTAAGATTGGGGATGACAAACATGTTGAAATTCAAAGGACAGTCCCACACAGTGAAGAATTTCACACCAGAAATAATGACAGCCTTCTTTTATAAAACACTGGTGGGGATCATTCAGTGGTGAACACGAGACCTAGAAAATTCTAAGGCTGCTTTTCCATATTTCATCTTTCTTTCTGAATGAGGTCACTAAGAAGCAATAGGCCAAGTGATTCGTTGCCCATCTCAGTGGGACAAACAATTTTTGTATGATCAGGTATTTCCATAAATAGCATGAGGAACATAGCTATGATAAACTGTAGACAAATATTCATCAATGTCACTCAAACAAAATAATGTTGCTTAGAGAAGCACAGCCGATCTCAGACCCCTCAACTGCCAGATACAATAAACAGAACCATTACTGGAAGATACAATTGTACGTTTGGGAGCAGAATCCTCAAACAGGCAAAGGGAAGTGATTGGTTCAGTATTCTTGGAATTTTTTCTTGAAAGACAGATTGAGCTTCTGATTATTTCATGAAATGGGGAGATCTTTTAGTAATGACCCCAAGTCTAGCACACAATTTCACCCTGATCTTACCACTAGATTGTTTCCACAGCCCTCCAACGTGCTGAGGTTGATGATGAAAATGACCACGGCGGGAAAGGTGTTATTATTGATGAAGCCCCTGCAATGGGAGTCCCCATGTCTTCCATTCAGTGCCAGATCTGTTTCAGAGTAACCAGAGAAGAGTACTGTGCAAAAATTAATCTTCATCGTAATGGCCTGCACCCCACAGTAGACACTGATGTCTCTTTCAGCTGAAATAAAAATACATAAAAAACAAATGTAAGTCTCAAAATCACAGTAGAAGGTACAAGAATAACTTTAACATCTCCTGATGTACTTATTCATCCTCTCAGTCTCATCCCTATATTTGAAAACACCATAATCCAATGTGCAAGTTATCAAGAAAAGTAGCCAGGAAAAAACTCTTTGATTTAGTTATTTAGAGAGAGGCCTTTGAGGGTAGAGATTACAGCTCATCTTTGTTTCTCCTGTCTGGTGTATGGTGTACGTGCATTAAATGTCAGTTGAGCATATTGTTGAATGATTAGAGAAGTGAGCAGAAAAAATCGGGCTACTGAGCAAATTCAGAACTAGAGTAACTGAATTATTCAGATCACCTGTCTAAAGTAGTGAAACACACTGCAAATGATGCATTTTCCCAAGTGTAGGGAAGAAGCGGTTAAAATCCATCCTAAGCCAAATTGTGGAGCACTTTGGTATTTTGTAACCTATCTTATCCAGGATGTAGAAACAAAAGCCATCCATCAGAATTTCATTTTATTTTGCCTATATTAAATCACACTAGAGAGAGAGAAGATGAAAAATGGTGTGCTGATATTACAAACAAAAATGCATAGCCTTCTCTAAGAATATTTTGCCAATGACTATGCCTTAATCAAAGGAATGAGCCAGGCATGGAAATGTAAAACATGATTTGCAGTGTTTTCTGTGACTCTATGAGTTATCAGTGATGGGACCCATTCTAGGTCTGTAAAGGCAAGCCTGCACACACACACACACACACACACACACACACACACACGCATGCACATATGCTTTCCATATCTCTATTTAGTTATTTTTCTACATATAATGAAGAAAATATATGTAAAAAGCGGAGAAGTTGACTGCTAGGTAATTCCCCAGTGGCAGAAGCTTTTACTCTTATTGGTTTTGGTAACTGTTATAAGTTGAAAAAAGATACATTGAAGTGGTAACCCCCAGTACCTCAGAGTGTGACCTTATTTGGAAATAGTGTCGTTGCAGAGGTAATTAATTTAGATGAGGTCCTAGTGGAGTAGGGTGGCTCTCCAATCCAATATGATGGGTGTCCTTGTAAAGGGGATGCCATGTGAAGACAGAGACACGAGGAGGATGCCATATGAAGGCAGAGAAGTGAAGTGATGCATCTCTACACCAAGGAATGCCAAAGCTTGCCAGCAAGCCACCAGATGCTAGGAAGAGGCAAGGAGGGGCTCCACCCAGAGTCCCAGAGGGAGCGCAGCCCCACGGACACCTTTATTTTGGACTTCTGCCCTCCAGAGTTGCTAGACAATACACCTGTGTTGTTTAAATCACCCCGTTTGTGGCACTTTGTTATGGCAGCCCTGGGAAATTAATACAGGAACCTCGCCACTTTTTAACACTCTGTTTTACCACTTAGATAAAGCATATGAAACAAGCATCAGGTTTTCACAATGTGGAAATAGACAAAAGCTGATTAGGCTGTTGGGAGAAATCACCTTGATTGTTCAAAAAAGGAAAAACAAGCAAAACAAAAGATTTTTTGGTAAATGACAGGATATTCACCTGAGCAATATGTAAATGTGTCATTCAAGATGTTTTGGCATAGAATGAATTTGCCTAAATCCCACAGTTCTGATATAAGGGTAGAGTGGTCAATAGCTTATTTCTTTGGAGTATTCATTCTCTATACTGGTTTTTGCTGGCAAAGTGAGTCATATTTTGGGGAAATGAATAAGTCAATATGGAAATTTCTATGTTTGGCTATGCTTTTAAACTCATTACAAAAAAGAAAGAAAATCTTTTTATGGCCAAAGATGGAAAGAAAGATGGGAAATCTCTTTCATGGCCAAAAGGCAGTATTAGGCTAGTTCGTATAGAAAACTCCAAGCAATATTTCCTTTGCAACTAGAAAAATAAAACGAATTCACTATGGCATTCACTTTTCCAACATAGAAAATAATAAATACCACTTACATCTGGGAGAATATCTCTATTAGCCTTCAGCAACATTAACTGTTTTAACGCAACCATCACTTTTAAATAATGCTCTTTACTAAAATAAGACAGTTCGTGTTAACAATATATAGTGACTGCTTACCAACTTCAAAATGCACCTTAAATCTATTGATTTTTCCCCATCTTCATGCTATACCTCAGCCAGCCTCATGCCGACCAGCTGGTTGAGAACGGCTTCCTGGAGAAGATGGCATTGAGCTGAGTTTTCAGGTATCAGTAGGAGTTGGCTACATAAAGGAGTGGAAATTTTGTAACACAGAGGGGACAGCATGAATAACGACACAAGTGTGAAACATGCTCAGGTTTGTTGGGAGCTGGATAGTTCCATTTTCATTAGAATTTAAAAAGTAAAGAAGGAAATGGCAGGGAATGAGGCCATACATAAGATCACGGGAGACCTTCACGTACAAAATGGTCTCTTTAGGGTAACAAAACGTCCTCCTGAATGTCAAATCAAATTCTCAACTACTAGAGAGTTCACTAAGAACTCTCTTTATGCCTAGTGAATGGAGAATGAGCGTCATTGCAGTACTTGGCATCTCCTAAATGTATCAAAGTGAGGCCATATTAAGTATATTACAAAAGAGAGGTACCATTCTCCTTAATTTACATCAACTAAAGACTTTAGCTTCTTCACCTTTGTTTAGAGGAATTAATTCATGCTTACAATAGCCTAACAAATGGCAATGATTACTTTGTCCAGAGGTAGAGCTCTCTCTTCTGTTTTCTGCTTTATAACTGAAGACTTGAACCCTTGCAACGGAACTGCATTTGCTACAAGCTGATGCCACTTGGAGATACAAAAACAAAATAAAAGCCTTTTGCAGTGTAAGAAAAGAGATCTGTTCAAATCCATCCTAACCCAGTTTTCTAAAGACTTTTCACTGTTCCTTCCCAGGAACACATTTTTTCTTGGTTGTAGGTACTAAAGACATCTATTCAGCACAACTTTTCCATTTGTGAGGCTTTGAAGGGAAAAAAAATGATACTTCAAGTTTCCAAAGGGCAATTTCTGCCAAAAGTAGAGAAATTTTTTTCAGAGTTACTGAATAACAGTTGCTCTCAATAGCTAAAATTTTTTAGCCTTTTTATGGTCCAATCCTAGCCTGAATTGTGACATCCCTTTGGACAATACTCGAGTATTAAACAATTCAATGAGCACAAGCTAACAACCAAAAGTCAAGGAATAAATACCTTTAGATGTTTGATTTTTAGTGTTTTGTGTTTAAAGATTGTAAGTATGTTTAAAATGACAAGCCTTCTGACAGAGTTTATGTGCAGGTATGTTACCAAAATGACAATTTTTCCCCTGATATTTTAACCAAGCTAAGCTTTTCACAGAAATTTTTTAAAATATAGTATTCAATGGAATTCAGGTAAAAATAAAGAAATGTTCTGCATGCCTCTTATTTATCAATCAGGTAATGAGTTTGTCTCAGATTTTCTAAAATTATGCAAATTTTAAATATCCCATCACACTTTCAACCACCTATCTTACCATGTATAAAAATGTGTCCTGATTTTGTGTTCACAGAATATGCTTACCATATAAATGAGAGTAAAGAGAGGATGGATCCAATTCTAAATATATGAAAAAAATATCACTCTACTTCTTTATCTTCAATAAAGTTCCATTCCTAGAACACCTAATTACAATTTTCCCTTTAGACACAATTCCTGACAACATATTTGCAGCATTTCATTCACACATCTAACATGTATATCTAACTTTATTATTCTTTTCAACAATTCCATGCTCAACTGGCTTAAATCCAATGGCATCCAAATGACACTAAAGATTCCCAGCTTTTGATACACTGAATGATTTTCATCTCATTTCAAAACTAAGTTTGAGACCTACATTTCCTTTCACTAGCACCAGAATATTTATTTTAACATTTTCTAATTATTACCTAGAATAATAAGGGCATGGATCAATGCAATTATTCAAATAATTTGCACATATGCATTATGCAATACAAATACACATGGCAACACCCCAAAATTGGGCCGTCAGCTACTCAGGACTATAGTGCAGTGGCTCAAAACGTTCCTTTGCCATTGATCTGAAAAAGTAAAAATCTGTAGGAAAGGCAATTCGGGGGAGGAGGAGGTCAAGTGTATAATGTAAAAAAAGATGGGGTGCACAAAAACTGAGCACACACAATTAGCGTCATTTTTATATAAGCTAGAGGCTATTGGTCCTATTTATTTTCAAGATCTAAACTACATGCCACTTCTTATCAGCAAAGTATTTCAATAAAGCATTTATTGTATACATATTATGTGTCTGTCTCTGTGCTAGACTCTGAAGATAAAGAGATTAACAAGAGTCTTTTACTTCAAGGAACTCATTGTTGAGTAGAGGACACAGCGACCTTACAGCCTGAGGATGATACAACAGAGGTTTGTGTGCAATGTTGTATACAACTATGTCTTGCTAGGGCAAAGGTGTTTGGAAGGACTGTTGGGAAGAAATGAAACCATTTCAGCTGGTCACATTTTATAAGAAACGGATGAGATAATGCCCTGAAGAGAGGGGTCGTATCAACTGATGCTCAGGTTTCTATCTTTAGTGACTGAGTGGATTACTCCCTGAGATAAGAAATACAGGGAAAAAAAAGATGGTGGGGGCCAGCCCCGTGGTCGAGTGGTTAAAGTTCCCATGCTCCGCTTCGGCGGCCCAGGGTTTCGCTGGTTCACATCCTGGGCATAGACATGGCACCATTCGTCAGGCCACGCTGAGGCGTCATCCCACATGCTACAGCTAGAAGGACCCACAACTAAAATATACAACTATGTACTGGGAGGATTTGAGGAGAAAAAGCAGGAAAAAAAAAAGATGATGAGCTCAGTTTTTGCGAGGCTGAGGTTCATATGGGACATTCAAGCAGAAATGTACGGCAGGTGGCTGAAAATATGAGTAATATTTGGAGGATAGAAAACAGTGAGAAATATAAATTTGAGAATCACCAAATACTCAGCATAT